CTCCGAAGCATGCAGTGTATTTGATACACCTCCCTCAAGAGCACCGAAAAAGTGTGGCGGCTGAGCGACTGGCTAATGAAGTACGAGACGTCCAAGCGGAGGTTAAGGAGAGGCTCGAGCAAAAGAATGCCAAGTATAAAGCTACCGAGGACGAGCATCGCAGGCTGAAGACTTTTCATGCGGGGGACGATGTCATGGTATTCCTTCGAAAGGAGCGATTCCCGGTGGGAACGTATAGCAAGCTCAAGCCAATGAAGTATGGACCGTTCAAAGTCCTTCAGAAAATTAATGATAATGCTTACGTAATCGACCTCCCGGCTCACATGGGTATTTCGAAGACTTTAACCGTTTCGGACTTGTACGAGTATCAGGAGAATACCCCACTTTATCCCGATACAAGCTCGAGGTCGAGCTCTTTCGAAGAAGAGGGGATTGATGTAGAGGCGGCCGAGTCGGAATTGGTTGGGGCCAAGTGTTCCCGAACCGAAACGACGAGGGGAGTTTTAAATAATTCATAATTAATTCTACAAAAATCGGATTTGAATTCCGCAAGTTGGGTTGTTTCCAACTTTCGGTATTCTATTAGGTTTAGGAGTTATTTTGTTTTTTTGCCTTTTTTTTTTGTAATTTTCTCGTTTTCCTAGTTTGATTAGGTTTTTCATTTTCTTTAGTATAAATAGTTGCTCTAGGGTTTATTTTTCAGCATCTTTCATTATTAATAAAATTTCTGAGTTTTCTCTCAATTATCTGGTGGATTCCAGAGTTATCGTGTTATATAGGATTAATTCGAAGAAATTAATTATTTACCGTGTTTCCGTTCTGCGTCAGTTTTTGTCTTCCAAATAAATTCAGCTCATTCAAACTTATTTGCAAATAAAGAAAACCACCCTTTTATATATACCAAAATTACCCACAACTCCTTGAAACCCTAATTCAACTCCAATTTCATGATTTACACAATAATTTAGCCTATTTCATCAATTCACCAATTCACCAATCTTGACCATTATTCCAATTTTGGAGATCGCCGGTCACCGGCGTTAACTTTTTTGTTTTTTTGGGAAACTTTTTTTTTTTCTGAATCTTTTTTTCCGGCAAGTCCGGCATTGACCTTTTTTTTTAAACTTGTTTTTTCTTAAAAAAAATATTTTAATTAATATTACTGTCTTGGCCTGCTATGTTACTGTCGGAGAAAATAATATAACTGTCTGAGACAGTAATTTTACTTTATTAATTAATTTTATCGTCTTCACCTACAATTTTGTTGTCTCCGACCGTAATATTACGGTTTCATGCAATAATATTACTGTGATATATTAATCTCTAGCACAGTAATATTAACACAACAAAAGTCATTATTATTGTGTAATAAAGTAATATTAATATATTTACCGTTCAACAAAGGTTAACATAATAAAAAGTCAAAAGAATTAATATTGATGTGGTTGACAGTAACATTACTATAACAACAGTAATATTACCGTCAACCACAATAATATTATTGTGTTTACAGTAATATTACAATGGATGTGATAAACGTCTTTCGAGTTTTAATAATGCCGTTTCGACTTCAAACGTGATTTTGATCATTTTTTTATTCCAAATTTTGCAAAACCCGAAAAATAAGATTTTTAGTATTCTGAGTTAGTTTTCTAATCCAACTTGAATCACCAAAATTGGATGTCGGACGAGAAAGATATACATGAATCAATGGATATTGCCCACAACTTTGATGTATTGAGGTATCTAAAATTCAAAATGTGACTCATTCATGCATAACTTTATCACACGGCATCCAATCTAGCGGATCTAAGTTGAATTAGAAAACTAACCCAAAGGACTACAGTTTTCGTGTTTCGAATTTTGCCAAAATCAACATAGAAATGTGTCAAAATCAGGTTCGAAGTCAAAACGGTATTAGTAAAATTAAATTGAAACGACATTTAACATTTCAGTATTACAGTAGACAGTAATATTATTACGTTGCTCCGTCAACAACTCAGAAAAAAAAACAAAAAAACCCAAAAAAATAATAATATTGATGTGGTTGACAGTAATATTATTGTGTTTACAGTTATTTTAATGTCAACGACAGTAATATAATAATTACGTTGGCTTGTCAACAAATCAAACAAAAAAAAAAGCCAAAAAAGGAATAATATTGTCGCTTACTCTAATTGTACAACGACAGTACAATTACATAAATGTCTTCTCAACAACAATACAATTACGTTAATCTCAAGAAACCGCACATCTTACATTCAACAATTTCTTTCATTTAATTAAGGGTAAATTACGGCCACCCCTTAGGTAAGGTCAAATTACGAAAAAAAAACCTTCTTGTTTGTGTAATTACAACCACCCCTCAACTATGAATCTTCTTACACGTCCATCCTTATGGTGTCAAATTCAACAAAATATTTTCTAGATTCCGTGGAAGTTCTCTACATAAAGGGTTTTAATTCGTAATTTAACCTTACCTCAGGGAGTGGCCGTAATTTACCCTTTAATTTAATTGCAACCTTATTTCAACTAAACATTCCATCTTTTTCGTTGTATACAATAGATCCTTCTTCTAACATTTACATTTACATTTACATCGTTTATAATTGTAGTTCGTTATGTTTTTTTTCAGGTCAATAGAAATTTCTACTTGGAAGAAAAAGAAAGGTCGAATGGTATTATTGCTATATGTGTTACAGAACCAACTTCCCAGCTTTATGTTATTGGGCGAATGGCAAAAAGGTCCATCACATGGGACTTAAATGCATTTTGGTCCACAAAAAAAATAAACAGTCTCTCAATTAAACTCATCCCCATGTCTTTAGTCTAAAATACACTCCATAATATAATTTTTATCAATTTCATCCATTATGCTCTAACTTCCTTAATATGACACATTGACCCCGGATTTAAACAAATATATCACATTAACACTCAAAAAATTTTTTTTTTCAGAAAATAATATTTTTTTCTGAAACTTTTTTTTTCCGGCTAGATTCCGGCGTTGACCGCCGGAGACGCCAGTCTCCGGCGTTGACCGCCGGAGACGCCAGTCTCCGGCGTTGACTTTTTTTTTTTTTTTGAAACTTTTTTTTTAGAAAAAAAGTATTTTAATTAATATTACTGTCTTGGCTACTAAATTACTGTCTCAAACAGTAATTAATATTTTTTGCTGTTTTGGTTGGATTTTGTTGTAGGGATTGAGCTGCGGTTGAGTTCAGAAGCTTCTAGGGTTTCTAGAGACTATCGGAACTCTACTTTCGACATTTTTTGCGACGCGTAATCCTCGTGTATGTATGACTATGGAATTTAACTTTTTTTCTAGTATTATTTAAACAAGTCTATAGAGATTTCAATTTTTATTGTTTGGTAAGTGACGTTGCATAATTTATGTGGCTGATTATGTATTCACGCTCTTGTTTGGTGCGAGGGCTCTATCAACAGAAGCAGTCAAAGGTACTGGGGTGCCTTATATGGAAACGGTCAGCTTCCTCATCTCAATATAAAATAAAATAAAATAAAAAAACCAAGAAAAACAATCAGTATCTATATAGAGAATTGTGTTCTAAGTATTGTAGTCACCTTTTTCTAGCTTTAAGTCTCCTTTTTTTATTTTTCGTTTCTTCTTATTTTCTCTCTAATTATTAAATTCTAATCATTTTTTTGTATTTTAAAGATTTTGCTTCAAAAAAAAAATGCTAAAGCAGTGATAGTTTTAAGTAATATCTTATTGGCAAAGTACGGCCACCTCCGAGATAAGATCAAATTACGAAAAAACCCCCTCTTTTTCGGGTAATTACAAACACCCCTATTGTCTTACACCTATTGTCTTACACGTCCAGTTTTACGTATTGTCTTACACGTCCACCTTTACGTTGTCAAATTTATCTACTGAATGGGTGGTTGTAGCTACCCAAACACATTTGGTTTTAATAATTTAACGTTTTTTGTCATTTCCGTCAATTTACCGTTAGTCTATTAACTAAGTCATTGATGGACACACGCTTGATTTCGTTAGTTTTAACATGATGAGGGACCAAATGCGTATTTTGAAACTTGTCAACATCAAGTTTTTCAACTTGTGATTTGAACTTGTCAAAAAACACCATTGACTTTGTCATAATTGCAACAATACCATAACTTATAGGCAATAAACAAAATGTCATATGGTACAATAACTTGTACATTATTAGTATAAAATGTGACAAAAAACCTCATTATAATTCTTACCAAACAAATTAAACATAGTAGAAAAGAAATTAACCCAGCATTATGTCTGTGATACCAGTGTTGCCAGAATTTAATGGTATGTATGATATTCACAAAAACTAATTCTTTCTTTTCTTTTCTTTCTCATTATATATATATATATATATATATATATATATATATATATATATATATATATATATATATATGTGTGTGTGTATGTATATGTATGTATAAAAGTAGTGAAAAATTAGTATATATTGCTTAAATCTGCAGAATTCAGCAGAATGGAAACAAGAGAGGCACCACCTGCACATTTGTTGGTTAAGATTGAATCATTCTCCTTATTTGAAAAGTATCAAATTGAGAAATACGAAACTAAGGAATTTGCGGCTGGGGAATATAAGTGGTATTGTGTATGCTAACGTTTTGAGTATTGAAGATATTAATATTAAATGATACATTTCACTAACAGCTTAAGCTTAATGTATATATTACGCAATTGTTGCTTGATAAAATCAAAAAGTAATGAAAGATGGTTGAACTTGTATAGGAAACTAATAATCTATCCTAATGGAGACGACAACGTCGGAAAAGATAGCGGCTATGTTTCTGTATATTTGGCTATGGTAGACACATGTTCTCAACCTGTGGAGGTCAATGCTGTGTTCAGTATCTTTCTCTTTAATCATATTTCCGGCAAGTATCTTTCTTCACTAGGTACTATTCTTGTTCTCTAGCTAATTACAATTAGTTTATTTAAGTTGCAAATTCAAACAAGTAGTCAGGACTAGAGAAGTTCTATTAATTTAGCGAATTATTAAATTATCGAGTTAATAATTTAACACGTTTTCACCGAGTCGGAACCGAGAGAAACTATTATTTAATCGAGGTTATTAATTTATCAAGTTTCTACTGTTGTATATGTATGGGACAGGAAGAACAAGACGTTTCCAAGGAACGAAGTCCAAATGGGGATTTTCAAAATTTATTTCAAAGGAAAGTCTGACAGATCCATCAAATGGATATGTAGTTGGTGACAAGTCATGTGTGTTTGGTGCTGAGGTTTTTGTGGCTAAAAAAGAAGCAATCACTCAATGCGTGTCTTCAAGAAATGTTGACATTCCTTACAAACGTGATTGGATTATTCCAAACTTCTCCAAACTCGGAGATGATTGGAAATCTGAGGAATTCAGTGCTGGAGGCGAAAAATGGTACTATGCTTTTTTTATTTTTTTTATTTTGGAACTATGTGTGTTATATCCTTGCACTTATTCCATTGTTGACATGAGTACTTCTGTTGATAAATGAAGGACGATTAGGCTTTACCCGAAAGGAGTAAGTAGTGGCACCCATGTCGACATCTTCGTGTGGTATTACGGTTGTGAAAGAGTGGAAGCATGTTTTACCATACGTATGAAAGAGCAGGTTTTTGATCAAGAATACGAGAAATCATGTAGTAAGTTACAAAACATCAGGGTTCGTAATTGTTGTCGATATTCCTCCTTGAATCTCTCTCATCAAATACTAAACTTGTTTTTCTTGCAGAAGATTACTTGTTTACGGCTTCCTCCAGACATTGGCTACTGCGTAATTTCATGGAGATTGAAACTATGAATGATCCTAAAAAGGGATTCATTGTGAACGACTCTTGTCTTCTGCAACTTGAAATCTCATCTCTCAAAGATGTGGTAGAATAATCTCCCCTATCATGGAATATTTATAATTAGCTGCACATTATTATAAAATTAACAAAAAATCACATTAAAAGACGGACCGTCCGTTAATAGAGAAATATAAGGATTCCGCTAGTTTGATGACATGTGGCAAAATGTATTGTACTCTCTCTCTCTCTCTCCCCCTCCTACGATTAGCAACAAATTATTCATTTGCTCTAGTTATAGTTTATGTTTTCATTTTTTTTCTTTTTTTTTTCTTCATGTATCTTGAAATAAAAATTTATTTTAACTTCTTTCTGGAATCGAAACAGATTTTAGTTTTTCATTTAATCAGTCCAATTTTTATATTTATCTCACTGTTGTGGAATGAATTTGAAATTAGTTTTTATTAGTTTTTTCATTTGATTTAATTTTCAAAAAATGTTAGTTTCAATCAATTAATTTAATCCCTACCAAAAAGTCATTTAGTACAACAGTTTTAGCAATGACAGACCGAATATTAGTGTTTCAATCACGAATACCGCTAGAAAAAAACAGAAAAAAACCCTAGTAATACCGTGGGTGAAAAAAGTGTAGTTCGAAAACAAAATTCAGAGTATGTATGAATACACCGTATAGACAGAAGCGGAACTAGGATCAAAATGCTGGATGGGCCAACCAGGGCCGGTCCTAGGGTCTGGGAGGCCTAAGGCGAACACAATAAATGAGGCCCTCGTGTTTTTTTTATTTATCGTATTTGCATTCAAAATATTTGGTCTTTGTGTCTTCTCCGATGTGCGGGTATGGGTGGAAATCAAATGGATTTTGGACAAACTTCTAAAAAAAAAAATTTGAAGTGAAAAACTAATCTAGATTATGTTAAAAAAAAAAAGAATAAAATAACCCTAGATTCGAAAATTCAAAAATTGGACCGAAAAAGATGGAAATTTTCAGGTCGTAATCGGCAAGATTCAGAAAAAAAAATCCAATTATTAGTCACCTTTCGATGATTGACAGTTAGTGCAAATTTTTATTTTATATTTTTTCTTATTCAATGTCAATGTAGAAATAATTATTTTAATAACAAGTAATTATATATATATATGGAAATTTATAATGTCCTAACACATATTTTTGTGACATATGCAAATGCCTCAAGGTTGATCAAAGTGTCTCAAAAAGTTTCTTAGTAAAAAATAGTACGATTTTTAGAAGACACATATAAATGCCTCAAAATATTATATCGGGACATATAGGAGTGTCTGGAAAAGAAAATTGTATCGGGACATATAATAAGTGCCCTATGAGCTATTGCGACACACAACTACGCGACATTTGTTTTATTTGCCCTTATAGCTGCAAGTGCCTCTAAATGGTATGTTTTAGGACATTTTTCAGTGTCCCTAAAAGACATTTTTGTTGTAGTGCCTATTTTTTTAAGATTTAAAATAAAATCAGATTGGAAATCGGAATCTTATATATTATACCAATTCCGGTAAAAACAAATTGGAAAAATCGGAAACATAAATTTTTGGAATTTAGAATAAAAAATATTGTTCCAACATCGAGGACTTGAATATATAAATAAAATTATTGGATTAATTTGTTTGGGCCTCTTTTTAAGAAAATAAATGGAAAAAAAATATTGGTTTTGGGCCTCTTTTTTTAGCCCTTTTGACTGAAAAAGAAAAGGTTAAAACAATTTGAAAATTGAGGACTGGAGAGCTGAACACGGAACATTTAGGGGATGTTTGTTTCTATTTCCAAAATGGATTTCCAGTTTTATACTATTCATAAAACCGAGATTATGTTTGTTTGACAATTTTATCCAGAAAATCCCATTTTTCATTCTCAAATTTCTATTGGAAATTCACTATTCATACTTTTTTCAATTTTCAAACCTACTAAAACCTACTATCTAACCTATATATTTTATTCCACCAACTCATTTCTCTCTCCTTCTATTCATCACTCATTAATATTTACACTCTCTCTCCTCAAATTTCTCTCTCCTCATTAATATTTACACTCTCTCTCCTCCTAATTTCTCTTTCTTCTTCTTCTAATAATAATAATAATAATAATAATAACAACAACAACAACAACAACAACAACAACAACAACAACAACAACAACAATAATAATAATAATAATAATAATAATGATAATAATAATAATGATAATAATAATAATAATAATAATAATAATAATAATAATAATAATAATAATAATAATAATAATAATAATAATAATAATATTTATTATTATTATTATTATTATTATTATTATTATTATTATTATTATTATTATTATTATTATTATTATTATTATTATTATTATTATTATTATTATTATTATTATTATTATTATTA